CTCTGCCACTAGGACTAATACTCAGTAGGCCTACAGGAAAGAAGAGGCATTTGTTTTTTCAGAGGCCCACAAGAAACAATTATCAAAGTGCACCTTTTATTTCAAATGTCTGGAAACGGCCAGTGCTTTTTTTTCTGAGGGGACGCAGGGGTACACATACCCCTAAACATGTTGTGAATCTTCGTACTTTTGTCCATTTACTGTATTTATTTTTCCTGATTTGAACTATAAAATGGTGATTTTCTTGAATCAAAATGAGAGTACCCCTAAACGTATTTTTATATATATAGAAAAAAAGGACTGGGAATGGCAGTTAAAATGTCTGTTTCCCACCTGAAACCATTTGTAGCAAAACATGGTTTCTTGGTAGGACTTTGGGGCAGATGTACCACTCTGTGGAACGAGTACCTCCAAATTCTGCGGAGCTGGTTTGCCACATTTTGAAGCAACTGAAAGAATGTGCATTAGGATGTATGGGGCCACCCCGATAAGACCATTAAATACAGAGTCTACCTAACTGCCTTGCAGATTCCCAGTAAAACCACCACCAGATTGCCCTGGATCTACCTGGGTCGGCTTTCACTGCGCTATGCTAAGACACCATCTCAGCTGAACTAGAACTTGCCACAGCTCCCTTCTGAAAACTCTGTTGGTATAAGCATGGAAATGGACTAAATTCTGCTTCCAATTTCCAAACATATGTACTTCGATGAATATTAAATAGTAGACCTATATCATCATCATGAATTATTTACCTTGTCGAAATAGGTTTTTAAAAAAAATAAAATAAAAATAAAAATAAATAAATAACAAGAAGAAGAAGAAGAGAAGGACCAGAGTTTGCTTTGGAGCATGAAACTCCAGTGTAATTGAGTTTAGAGTGGGAAAACCTCTAAAGAGGCCAGGGCCCCAGAGAGTTCCCTGAAACCCACCTGTCATCTGATATTACATCACGGCTCAAACAAGCCATGCCTTCCTGTTCCCGCAAAAGCCTTCTGTGACCAGAGGGGAGGGGGGAGGCTGGAAAAAAAAGAATTGAATCTGCTGCGAAGGAGGGGGGAGAAGAGGAAAACGAACTCGGCAACAGCTGTACCATGTCAGCAGAAATAATTATCGGAAACTCAGCCTCTAAGGGACGCTCGGCTGAGTCTTCATGCAGCAAGGTGTCATTTGTTAGGGCTGGGGGTAAACTGCCTGCCTGCCTCCCCAGAGAGCCGGTGCCAGTCAGTGTAGACATTACTACTGCCTAGATTACAGAATCATAGAATTGTAGAGTTGGAAGGGACCCCGAGGGTCATCTAGTCCAACCCCCTGCAATGCAGGAATCTCAGCTGAAGCATCCATGACAGATGGCCATCCAAATGAAGGAGAGTCCACAGCTTCCTGAGGCAGACCATTCCACTGTCAGACAGCTCTCACCATCAGAGAGGTAGACCAATAACTCAGCACAAGGCAGTTCCTATGTCTGTCCTATGTTCCTATTGTTTGTTTATCTTGCTTTGTGGTGCCATTCAGCAAGAGGGTGATGGAGGGCTTGGGCTGTGCTCTTTAATCAAAGCAGAGTGAGCAGTGAATGAAATTAACACCTTGGAGGATTTGATTAGGAAAAGGTGAATTGCTCCTAAAGAATTCTGTGCACAAATCCAGCTTTTTTCAAGCTGTTTTTTTTTTATAAAGAAAAGATTTCACAGCCAGAAGAAGGCTGCACAAGTTGTGTTAAGATTAAGGTTACCAGATTTTTTCAATGAATCCGGGGACACTTTTCAACTTCAATGGATTTTGTATGGGGACTGATTTGTAAATCCGGGGACTGTCCCCCGGAAACGGGGATGTCTGGTAACCTTAGTTAAGATTAAATGAAAAACAAGCTACAATTTAAGAACTTGGACCCCCTTGAACTAAATGATTGTTCTAGGAAGATATGAATAGCTCAGGGAATTGGTGGTAAAAATCTACAGAGCCTTTTACGTTTGGATCGCTGATGTGAACCAGATTCTCTGTTATCTTAACCCTATTAGCTTCTATCCATTGACTTCTGTTGATGTGATCAGGCTTGTTGGTCTAGCCTTATTCAGAAATTAGTGTATCTATGTGGCAGTACCTTTGTACTTACTGGCCTGATCCCAGTATAAAATCCACGTATTTAAGTCGGACACTGGCCCCCTTTTTGAGAGAGCCAGTAGGTTGGTAAACAGTAGCAAGTTCCACATCTGTTCTTGTGAAACCTCAGGGTCTAAGACTAGGGTTTCACCTGTGACCATGTATGATCAGAGCACTTTGAAGCCACCCAAGCAACAGGGTCGTGTTGTGACATCAGGACAATCTGAAGTCTCTGGTTGGCTAGGCATGATATAAATACTAGGAGTTTTGCCCATGTTTTGCCCATGTCTGCTCAACAGAGCAATACTTCTACAATGCCTCTATTGCATGTCAGGCTCCAATTGCTTCTCCCACAACTCACGCTGAGGAAGCTTAGACCCAGGGGCTAAATTGTTAGTATTTCATGGCTCCGATGCTGCAGAAGAGATTGGTGTAAATCACATGCCTGTCTGGGAAGAGTGTGGGAAAGGAAGATCTTCTCTCTTCCACTGTATGTACTGTTGTACTGTAAAGGTAAAGGGACCCCTGACCGTTAGGTCCAGTCGCGGATGACTCTAGGGTTGTGGTGCTCATCTTGCTTTACTGACCAAGGGAGCTGGTGTACAGCTTCCGGGTCATGTGGCCAGCATGACTAAGCCGCTTCTGGCAAACCAGAGCAGCGCACGGAAACGCCGTTTAGCTTCCCACTAGAAGCTATTTATCTACGTGCACTTCAACGTGCTTTCGAACTGCTAGGTTGGCAGGAGCAGGGACCGAGCAACGGGAGCTCACCCTGTCGTGGGGATTTGAACAGCCGACCTTCTGATTGGCAAGCCCTAGGCTCTGTGGTTTAATGCACAGAGCCACCAGTGCCCCAACTTTTGTACTGTACTTTTGCTGTACTTTTGCTTTTACTTGTTCCTGTTCTTCTCTCAGAGCTGGAGAGAGAGGAAGCCATGATTCCTTTTTCTGTACATAATGTGTAAATAAATACGTAGATGTCTCACGCTTCTTGCTGTGTTATGCTAGAAGATTAGTGTGCCTATATCATTTGATATATGTCACTGAAGCGCACTGGAGAAGAATGGAAATGCCTTTTCCAGAGCTCCGCATACCGGAGGATGCTCAGAGTTTGGGGCTGCAGAAGGGGCACCCCAGGGTGTTTTCCAACATAAATGTGGCCATCCGATCATCTCCTGCCCCCACCCACTGCCCACTCACCTGCTTACCTCTCCTACCAGCCTTCCTGCCTGCCTCTCCCCAGCTGCCCCAGCTCAGATGCATTCAGAAATAGTGCCACAAGCCAGGAGGCAAGCTGAGGAAAGGGAGTGGTGTCTGGCTGGGGGTGGGGTGGGGCGGCTGCCCAAGAGAGGGAGGGAGGCAGACACCAGCTTGCAGAAAATATTATCAGTGTGTGTGTGTGTGTGTGTGTGTGTGTGTGTGTGTGTGAAAGGACCAGGGCCCCATAGAGTTGGTGTCTGTGATGTGGCCCCCACAAGCTTACCCAGAAGAAAATGGCAGCCCTCTGACTGAAAAAGGTTCCCCAACTTTGCTCTGGGCCTGAGGAATGACACCAGACAAAGGGCAGGTTTTGTACCCATTTGGCCAAGGCTAGACTAGATGGGGCTGGGAAGAAAAGGATGCCAGGTCCAATTTAAAGGGGCCCATGGGCAAACAGCCCTCTGGCAGGCTCTGCTCCGTCTTCGTATAGTCCTAGCAGCTCCTGACAAGCTGTTCATCAATGCAAACTGCGAGATTGTGTTGAGACTTTTTAAAGAAACCAAACATATTGTTCTTGAAAGATGCAACTGATAGGCATCAGCTCACCTGCTTAGCAAGCCGAGTGAAGCCCTCTGATTAGATTTGGTTATTGGTTTATTTCAGAAATATTTCCCTAGGGGCCAGATTGCTTAGAAAATTGCTCTTGGCAGGCCGTATCTGTTACATCTCTGCTATTATCTCATACAAACGAATCTTCTCCTCTCGCCTTCTTTTTTTAAAGTGTCCTTTCAATTACTCTAGTAATTAACAGCCGCAAGAGGACAAGCGGTGAATAACGTATTTACAGGTTCCCCCAGTCCTGTACACTACAGCCTGCAAACTGACTGCCTACAGGAGATCTGCTCTTCAAAGAGCCATCCTGCTGTAGCTGTCTTTGGAATTATGTAGTTTTGCCAATTGCTCTGAAACTCTAGCACGGCCACGGAATTCAGGCTCATTGAAAAGACCGAACTCAGAAGGAGGCAACCGCTGAGAGACGTATACACAAAACCTCAATCCACTTGGAGTTTGAGCTCCTCTGCCAAGAATGGCAGCTAGTATTTCATTTACTGTAGTTGTCCTTGTAGCTTATTATTCCAGGAAGGGGGTGGGGGTTGGTAAAGAAAGTTGCGTTGCATACAACCTGAAGCCTCGAATTATGTTCCACTCCCAGGAGTGGTTTAGGAACCATCACAAACGAAAAGCTGAAGTCCTGGTTGCTGGGGTTTTTTTGGGGGGCGAGGGGTGCCCACATTCTGGGGAGAATCTTTTCACATACCAAAATCAAGACAGCTTTGTGTTATTGCCACAAGCTTTGAAAGACAAATTGCTCCTGCATTGAAACAATCACCACCACCGCCCTTTGCCTTCTGCAGTCAAAACGAGATGAACTTAATAGGCTTAGACAAGTCATTCTTTTATTTTACCATTCATGTCAGTTTGGGATGTGTTTATTACCGGTTTATTACCAGCCTGAATCTATCGCATGCACCACTGTTTCCATTCATCTGCAATTCGTCTTCCACTAAAAACTATATTCTTCCTCTCAGCCACGAAGCTTATGTGGTGGTCTTGGGCCCATCATAGAATTATAGAATTGTAGAGTTGGAAGGGACCACAAGGCTAATTTCGTCTACCCCCCTGCAATGTAGGGGTTTTTTTGCCCAACATGGGGCTCGGACCCACGACCCTGAGATTATGAGTTTCATGCTCTGCCTACTGAGCTATCCTATCCATAGGGCCTCCCAGCCAACCCTATTTCACAGGGACTAAATGAGGAGGAAGAGAACCATGTACACCACTTTGAGCTCCTTACAGAAAAGATGGGATCAAAACAGCAACAACAATACTGATTTTCAACATTGAGCGAATGTTTATTTACTGCTTATACTTACAGACTACTTCAGGGAAGGGCTGTTGCTCACTAGCATTGCATCGGCCTTGCACGCCTGGCGTCCCAGATTCAATCCCAGATTCATCCCCTCCAGGGATGGCTGAGGGCGTCCCCTGCCTGAAACCCTCGAGTGCTGCTACCAGTCAGTGTTAGACAATACTGATATGGGGCAATGGTCTCACTCAGCATAAGGCAGCCTCCTATGTTCTTAGCCAGCACTATGTTGTTGTTAGCAATGCAATAGGATAAGAAACAAGAACAGGTGACAAGTGCAAGTATTTCAAATACATAATCTAATAATGCAGAAGATGGGATATGAAAGTTCAAGGGCACATTCATAGGGGTAATGCCGCCGTCAAATAACAAGGAAAGATTAGACGTCCAAGTCTCCCCATTGCCCTTGCTAGTTTTTTTCCGCCACTGGATGGCAGACTTGCCCTCCAAATTACAGAAGTCAGCACATTTCTGATTAATGCGCCATCATTTTCTTATCCTTTGATACCGTTTTAGGGCCGGCTGTAAATGTGGTGTTCCAGCTCAGATTTGGGATCAAGGTTGCACTGGTTACAAGCGTTCAAGTTTGCATCATTCAGAGAGGCCTGTGAGTTGCCAAGTAACACCGCTGTATGCAGAACCCAAGGCAGATTTCACAAGTGCCACTTCAAAGCACTTTTGAGTCTCTCACCACTCTTGGTGTGAGCATATGTGAAAGACAGAAATGCAGTTTTAAATGCACTTGTATCAGGTTTTCAGTCCCCCTGCTGACCAGGTAGGAAGTGAGATTTATAACTGCATGTCAATGCTCTTTATATTTTTCAATTTTACCTACTGCAGGTGTGCTTATTTTTAGTTTTCCAGCCACCAGTTTGTTATACAGAGAAACAGAGGTGTGTTTGTGTAGACAGAGAGGCAGCTGCTAGTCACGCAAAGGTGTAGCAGCTAGTCAGGGGTCACCACAAGTGCACCCTCTCAAGATGTGGGGTCTTGGCAGCTGCCTAAACATGCACATTTGTGACACTAGCCATAGAGCATGTGCAGAGTGCAGTAGGCTTGATTCTGAGCACAATTCAAAGTGTTGGTGCTGACCTTTAAAGCCCTAAACGGCCTTGGTCCTGTATACCTGAAGGAGCATCTCCACCCCCATCATCCAGCCCGGACATTGAGGTGCAGCGGCGAGGGCCTTCTGGCTGTTCCCTCGCTGCGATAAGTGAGGTTACAGGGAACCAGGCAGAGGGCCTTCTCGGTAGTGGCACCCGCCCTGTGGAACGCCCTCCCACCAGATGTCAAAGAGAACAAGAACTACCAGACTTTTAGAAGACATCTGAAGGCAGCCCTGTTTAGGGAAGCTTTTAATGTTTGATGGACTACTGTATTTTAATATTTTGTTGGAAGCCGCTCAGAGTGGCTGGGGAAACCCAGCCAGATAGGCAGGGTATAAATAATATCGTCTTCTTCTTCTTCTTCTTCTTCTTCTTCTTCCTTGGCAACTCCAGTTAAAAGGAACAGGTAATGTGAAAGACCTCTGCCTCTGAGACCAGGGGCAGCCACTGACAGTCAGCGTAACAGTGGGGTAGGAGAGCTGAAAATAATGCCAATATATTTCACATCTGGCAACCAATGTGTCCCTTTGGTTTCTGATAGTACATGGATAGACAAGTCTACAAAGCCTGGGACATAAATATCCACAGCCCTCTAGCAGCTATGGTGGCTAATTTACCAGAAGTAATGCTTTTAGCAGTAACTCTGGAAGTATATACTCGATTCTGACCAGACTAAGTCTCCTATATATATATATTGCTCTAGGAGACTTACCTAGTACCTCCCAAGGTGAGCTAAGCCTGGCAGGACAGCTTACTCTATGGTCTTAACCCCTTCCTGCATTAATTACACTTAAGCAGGCTGGTTATATAAGGCTGGTTATCCCACTTACAGCTTGTTAACAGTTGCTGGGAATTGTAACTCTGTGAGGGATAAACTACAGGGCCCAGTATTCTTTGAGGGAACAATTGTGCTTCAGATATGCTTTAAAGGCATAGTGTATACACAGCCAGAGAGAAAAGGGGATGGTCTTTCCTGCATTTGGCTCTGGCCACATCCACTGTTGGCTTTGGCCCAGCAGCATGTACCCCACAATAGAATGTAGCCACCAGACAAATAGGTTTCCCACCTGTGCCCTAACAACCTGGGTTTTGATGTATCTGAAAGTGCTTTCTCTCATGTATTCACCACCGGCTCTTACGCAGTCTGTGCTCTGCATGTCTCCACTGTCGGAGGCAACCCCAGTGACAATCAGATCAAGGGCCTTCCCACTTCTGGCCATGTCTCTTTCAAGGAAGACTTATGTAGCCGACTGAGATCTGGCACTCAGCAGACTTGTGATGATCTTCCTGTTCAGGAATGCCTTTGAATTCTGGAGGTGAGATAAACCCGGCTTTTATTTAATTGAGTGAGACTTGCTTGGAGCGCCTGATTTTAGTTTGTTTGTTTAAGTGACCTTGTAAAAATGGTTTTATAAGGCTATTAATGTATTGCAGCACAGTTCTAACCCTATTTATTCAGAAATGAACCCTACTGAATTCAGTGGGGCTTACTCCCAGGTAGGGATGGAAGAATCTACCAATTTGAGTTCCCTCATTTTCTCATTTTTCCAATCTTAAATTCGGTTCGTCACATTAATTTTTTTTTGCAGTGATTTGCATTTTAAAAAGTCGCATTAAAATTCTTCATTTTAGTTTAGTTTAATTTAATTCCTCCTAATAAGCATATTTTTATAGACAGTTTTTTAAACCAGGCACAGGGCCTTCATGGCAGTGGCACCCTCCCTGTGGAACACCCTCCCTTCCGATGTCAAGGAAATAAGCAACTATCTGACTTTTAGAAGATATCTGAAGGCAGCACTGTTTAGGGAAGTTTTAAATGTTTTATTGTGTTTTTACTATTCTGCTTGGAGCTGAAACCCAGCTACATGCCTGTGGTATTATTATTATTATTAATAATAATAATACACATTTTTGCAAGCAGTTTCTCCTCATATAATGAATTTTTGTATTTTCTTTTCCTCAATATATTCACTTTTAGGCACACTTCCCCAATATTTACAAACAGGCACTATGATTCATTGGGAGCAATATAGTCTACAGAGCTATATATAACATCATGCAGAAAAATTATGGCTGTGTTCAAATGATGACTTAATTATACTCAATGATTTAATGTGAAATCCCATGCATTTTTTAATTGGCAATCAGACCTGAGCATTAATTATTTTGGGCTGTGCATGTATTAAGTCTTTACTATTCAATTTCTTTCTATAAAAAAGTAACTGATTCATGCTGTCAGTGTTAAAGGGGTTCATTGCTCCTGCTCTGATAGGATTGCTAATTCTAGATGGGATTTCTCCCTCAAGGTCCCTACCTGCCTCCTTTATTTTGTGGCTATTTTCCCAAAGCTTGAAGAGGGTAGAAATGTTCAAATGTTGAACTTCATGATTTGGATTTCTTAACCAATGGGAAGCCATTCACTACAAGACAAAATGTTTCTACAGAAGGACCTAGAAATAAACCATACTCTCTAAAAGGATCTATTTACAACATAACTTCATGGACCTTTGGTAGACGTGAAGTCTCTCCAGCAGCAGAATTAGTTTTAAAGCTTTACTGCAAACAGTCTTAAAACACTGGGTAAAAGGTAAAGGGACCCCTGACCATTACGTCCAGTCGTGACCGACTCTGGGGTTGTGGCGCTCATCTCGCTTTATTGGCCGAGGGAGCCGGCGTACAGCTTCCGGGTCATGTGGCCAGCATGACTAAGCCGCTTCTGGCGAACCAGAGCAGCACACGGAAACGCCGTTTACCTTCCCGCCGGAGCAGCACCTATTTATCTACTTGCACTTTGACGTGCTTTCTAACTGCTAGGTTGGCAGGAGCAGGGGAGCAATGGGAGCTCACCCCGTTGCGGGGATTCGAACCGCCGACTTTCTGATCGGGAAGTCCTAGGCTCTGTGGTTTAATCCACAGTGCCACCCGCGTCCCTAAAACACTGGGTACAATAAGATAAATGTTACAAATCACCAAAGTAGCACATTGCAAAAAAGAAAAAGCATTGAACTTTATTTAGTCCTTTATGGAGTTCAGTAAACTTTCCCCTTGCTGGTCCCAGAGGGAGATTCTAAGCTTGTTCATCATTGCCAGAGCTACTATGCAATGCTGCTGTTACTAGCCATCCCCAACAAAACACACACACTGCCTTCTCGTGTTTCAGTTTCCTTCTGTGAGAGCTCTGCAGCTCCTTGACGATGAGCTTGTCAGGTTTTTGCTGCATTTGCAGCACCGCAGTGAACTGTCCAGAATGCAAGTCTGTTCTGCCCAGATGGCAATCCTTGGTTTCGCTGATGTGAAGGAATCACAGAGGAAAGCAGAGCAATACATTTGGTTGCGTGGCGAGTTCCCGCCCCCCCAAGTGGAAATAAAGACACATGACACAATTATTAAGGTTAATGGGCTAAATAAGGCCACAACTTTATTGGTTACAGGTAATGAGCGGTATTGGCTTAGGCATTGGTCCTAACCGACTATATCTTGCTTCAGCCTGTCCGCTTGAAGTCCGGGAAAGGTTAACCACCAGTAGGGGGAGTCCTGCTGATGCACATCAACTAGGAACTCCCCCGGGGTCACCGCTCGGGGGCGTGCCTTAGGCCGTCACCTCCATAGGCTTTGGACAGGGCCACGCCCCCCGGAATCCTTTATCGGACTACCCTTCAATATGTGGGGCAGGTGATGGTGCTTCCAACAGCTGGTAGGCGGGAAAAGAGGGAGATCCCCGGCCGCGCCTGCGTTA